GTGTGTGTGTGTGTGTGCGTGCGTGCGTGTGTTGTGTGTATAAGAAATGGTGTAGCTGGGCGGAGGCGCGACATCTATACGTACTTATCGTCTGGACTCAGTATGACCGGCTCGTCCGTAAACTGCTTGTCGAAGTATCGAACATCGCATTGGTCTTTCAACTCCGGCAGGAAAGGTGGCTTTAATAGTTGACACTCCAGCTGCGCACGGACAGAAGAAACACATGAGAGGGCTTCATAGCAAAGACGTGAAGGATGGGCAGCTGGGAAGATCACCAGTGCGTTTTGAATTATATGAATTATAGCGGAGACGTACGCATACCGCAGGGTTTGTTTTTTTATTACCATATATATTTATTTAATTCAATTAAAATTTTTTTTAAATTTATATTTATTTATTTTTTATCTACGGGATTTTTTTCTTCCGCGTTCGTCGCGATAATATATTTACGAATTTCTTGCCAGATGAACGAAAACGACCACGAACGCCCACATAAGCTGCAATGATACATCTACACGAGGTGCCGTAATAAGCTTTGAGCAGATCTAACCGACACAGCATTACGGATGAATTTCTATCGTTGCCTATGTAATCAAGAGCTAATAAGGTATTATTAGCTTATGATGTAATGCACGAGCGGAAAGAAATTTACGACTCTACAAAGATGAGCGCGCGCGTGCGACGCGGCTCTGTGTACGCTCCTCCCCAGTCCTCCCTCCCACTAATACCTTTTCCCAGTCGATGGTCTTGTAGAACGTGTGTGCCTTGATATCGCTCAGACCTGTCTCCGGATCGCAGCCGAGTCGCTCCTCTGGTATCTGCAAGAACGACAACGGGAACGCACGTTGGCACACGCGCCGGTAAATGCATGTCGTCAAGAGTCCATGATAGAAATGTTCTATTACGGACGCTTGATGTCGTATAATCCATGCGATCGCGTGTGTTTCGCTCTGCAGCAACGTATAGAAGGTAAACTGTGAGGTTTGCAGGCAGCGTGAAGCGGTGACTGAACGAACGAACGCGTCAAGCAAGCGACGGGCGTATACCTTGCTAAGAAAGCCTTGCAGAACTTGACGTGCCTTGACGGTCAGAGATCGTGGAATGCGTATGGTCCTCTCGAGTATGACTGCGGAGCAAACACACACAGGGACAAAAATCAACATCAGAGAAGGTTAGATAAAGGTATAACATTAACACTGCGATGTATAAAAACGTAGTGCATTTTCTCAGCGTATACGGTATTTTAATACGTATATATAGAAACATGTTCTTGCTACTGCAAAAGCAAACGAAGTAAGGATGTTCGTAAAACGTCCACGCAAGCGTTTCTATAATCTTTTCGAGTAGAACTCACCGTCACGTTCACACAATGTGAGCAGTTTCGTGTGAAATCATTTGATATTACATTCTAATAAGAGATACTCAGACCAAACAGCCATTCACACTGCTTATACCGGCGGTAAAAATGTACCTGACTTCAAAAACCAAGTAAAATTCGGCAACTACGCATGACCATTCGGTACAAACTCGATAAAACGTGCGATTTTCAAAAAAAAGTGGTTACCAAACAAGGTGTTTTATTGTTACGCTGCTGATGGCGATGTTAACGTAAATGTACAATGTAGATTACCCTAGTATGTCGCATTCATACGGGAGATAATAAGGAGTCTTACCATGAAAGAGATAGCGCTCCGTCACCTGGTCCGGATTATCCGCATTCATGACAATGTCGAACGGAGAGCGACCCGCCATCATTTCAAACATTAATACTCCTAACGCCCACCAGTCGACGCTGCAGCCTGCAGTAACAACAAGCACACGTTATAAATGGGCGTTTGGAAATAACAATTAAATAAATAATTAAATAAATAAATAAATATACATATGTGTATATGTACGTGCGTGTGTGCATTCGTGTGTGTGCGTGCGTACATGCGTTCGTGCTTGGATGCGCGCGCACGTATCTGCGTTGTAGACATCCGACTTCAAATTTAATGATTTAACCATTAGACAAGTAGTATACTTCGTATTTCATACGTTTTTCATGCGAAATGTATTTATTAGCGAGTGAATTCATTGCTTGTGTGCTGACAATTAATCTATTTCCGACAGCGGCCAGCAGAGGAAGAACGATTCACATCCGGCCCTGTATAGACGCCATTGCGGTACTCCATTTCCGCGTCGCATTCAGCGAGTAACTGCGTCCGTTATTGTGTCAAAGTGAATCTGTAAGCAAACTCACCGTAATCGTCTCCCTTGAGGATTTCTGGAGCAATATAATTAGGCGTGCCGCAAAACGTCGACGTCTTCTCACCGGGCTTCAGACCGTCCTGCATAGACGAATATAATAGTAGGCCGCTCTTAGTGTGGGAACAGACTCTTAGTGTGTAGAATATAACAGGCCGCTCTTATAGCAGTGCATGCACAGTTCATGGGAAAGCGCAAGTGCTATACGCGTCGAATTGCCGCAGTTGTTGATTCAACATCAAACAGAATTGCCACGCCTGGCTGTCGAAGATTTAACGATACAACTGCGTTCTACGCTTATTTGTCTTTTTACCAGAAAATACGAAAGTCGGTTGTGCTTAGCTCGAGGCAAAATTGCACGTTTCATTCGGGGTTTGATATTGAATGCCGGCGGATCGTTTATTCGTTTAATATTAAACGCATAAGCCGAGCGTGGCGACAGTCAGGCAGCACTATTCAAAGGTATATATATATATATATATATATATACATGCGGGTGATCTGCAATTCGCAGCCGTAGACTGCTAATATTGTCTATGGTAACCTGCCTGCTCAGCTTTCGTAGACTGGCACAAAATAACATCGTCGCTGTAGCGTCTGTCTAGAGACGGAAATTTCTAGCGTCGTCTATAAGTATATCTGGCATTAATCGAAACGAGATCAGCACAACACGGATGTGCAGCGAATATTTGGGAAATTTTCAACTTGAATTTATTTACTCACGCATTGAACCATTACTCTTGTGAATAAAATCTATTCGACTATTACATTTTTTATCACATCGGTTCTGCTTTAGTTACATAACGCGAGCCCGCGGATCGTATGTTTATTTTTGCAGGTTAATATAACAAAGTCAAGTTGAAAATTGTCCAGAATAATGTTGTATATTCTTGTCACCTTTATTTCCAAATACTTTCTAACTCATAAGCTAAATCGAGGTTGAGCAGGCCATACTCACGCGTACCTGTCATATATACTACCAAACGAGTGTTATGCTTATAATTAGCAGCATTTGGTGCTTTTGATCACTTGATAAGGTAACTCTCTCTCTCTCTCTTTCTCTCTCTCTCGCTCTTTTTCTCTCGCCCTTTCTCTCTCGCCCTCCCCTCTCTCTCTCTCTCTCTCTCTCTCTCTTTAGCTTTTTCTATTAATAATAATCGTGCTTAATTATGCTATTTAATTAGCGTCGATCGGCGTGAGGTGTTAATTAGATTAATTGCTCTCTACCTTGCACATGCCGTAGTCGGTCAGCTTGACGTGTCCGTCTTTATCTAGCAGTACGTTGTCAAGCTTCAAGTCGCGGTAGATTATGCCTGCGAGAAAAAACCACGATGGCTCTAAACATCTCCCGTAAACAGTAAACATTTGCCGTAAACAGTAAACATCTGCCGTAAACAGTAAACATCTTCCGTAAACAGTAAACATTTGCCGTAAACAGTAAACATCTGCCGTAAACAGTAAACATCTTCCGTAAACAGTAAACATCTCCCGTAAACAGTAAACATCTGCCGTAAACAGTAAACATCTTCCGCAAACACTAAACATCTCACGTCGCCGCACAGTCGGAAATAACTTCCGTAAACACAAAGCATCTCTCATTATATATAGTAAACATCTCCCGTAAAAAGTAAACGTCTCCCGTAAACAGTAAACATCTCCCGTAAATAGTAAACATCTCCCGTAAACACTAAACATCTCACGTAAACACTAAACATCTCACGTCGCCGCACAGTCGGCACCGTCGTCGCAGGAAGTTATTACGCTATTACGCTATTACGATGCCGAATTACGTCACGCGATGCATAAATAACCCGCCATGCGTAAATTCTGTTTGTGGGAATATATCGACTGCGCGCGAGCGATTGGGTTCAACTCGTTATATTGTATATTCTATATACTATATAGTACACGTATATACTATATTATATAGTATAGTATAGTACTAGTATATATTCATTCATCCGTGAGCTTAAAGCGGAGCGAGAGCATAGCGCTAAAATCTTAGAATTATCTCGCGTAAAGTGATAAAAAATGGTTCCAATTTAACAAGATTCCAGCTTCCCTAGAGTGAATGTAAATATCTTAAAAACGCTTCGTGTGGGCTGCGACACCAGGATATAACGCGGCTGTCCGTACAGCGCGCGTATTTGACTAAGGGGGTATCGCAAAATCAAAGAAGACAAAGAAAGAAAGATAAAGCTGAATCGGCATGCCCCCTCTCGATTGATGTATCGCATCTCTGTCGGTTCGTGATGGCCGCTTCCGCACGCATGCGCGCACACAAAGGCACAGCGCCAACGCTCGGCTGCCCGCAAAAATATTCAAAACAATTTGTCTTCGATCTCTCCGGACACGCTCAAAAACCTGCCGACTGCTGGTTCATTATTCACGGGAAGGGAACGAAGAGAGGGCGAACTCCGTGTTTAATGACCTGTACGATAAAATATGAAGCAGCAAAGCCGCGGCCACTGCCGACCGTGGCGGAAGAAGGGGCTCACTCGGTGCAGGATGTATACCCACGTAACAAACCCGTATCGAATAGATCGATGGATTACCCTGCCATTACGTAATAATTCTTCAGTTCTGCAACATTGGGTGTCATAGAACAAGATGACGAAAATAAGAAGAAGAAAAAGAAGAAGTTAGATTTTGAAGAACGAGCAGAAGAAGCAGAAGCAAAAAAGAAGAAGCTAAACTTGAAGAACGAACAGAAGAAGAAGAAGGGGATGAGGAGGAGGAAGAAGAAGCTAAGGTTGAAGAACGAGAAGAAGAAAAAGAAGAGGAGGAAGATGAAGAAAGAAAACAAAGAAGAAAAAAAGAAAAAAAAGTGAACGAAGGTGTCAAAGAAAAAGGACGTGACGATGACGATGAAACCGACGAGGACCGATTATGATGTTGACGATGATGACAACCACGACACGACGACAACCATGGCAGCCATGGCATGCGATCATCGCACCTACCGCGCGTATGTAGGAAGTTCAGAGCAAGGGCAATCTCGCCGGAGTAAAAGCGTACGTGCTCCTCTGGTATTCGCTTCTCCCTCTGCATGTGAGTCATCATGTCTCCTCCTGCGACATACTCCATCACGAAGAACAGCCTGTAGGCATAGCGAGCTTCACGTGAACAACGGCACGAACACTGATATATGAGTAATAAACGGTCGGGGATGCTCTATGGCTGTACATTAAAGTGAGATAAATATGAAAGCGTATGGTGTGTGTGTGTGTGTGTGTGTGTGTGTGTGTGTGTGTGTGTGTGTGTTGTTGTTGTGTGTGTGTGTGTGTGGCGATCCTGCATTGCATTGCAATTGATATTCTTTAGATTATACAGCGAAGGAGAAAGACGAGACAAACGAAATATAATGGTCTATACATGAGAGGTTTGGATGTGAAGTCACACGAGTCACGTGAAATTCGCTCACGCTTGATGCTACTCGAGAAGCAGGTGTCATGGCGTACTGCGTGACTTCACCTATTGGACCCACTAAAGAGCAAATTCAGTTAGTATATAGATCACATGGTCGTCGCAAGAGCTCATATTTTCTCCTCTGCTTCTCCACCAGAGGGCGATCTGCGCGTTCTGCTCGACCGCATTGGAGGCGATCGGCAGGCCGGCTACAAGTGCGTCTCCTGTCGCTGCTCGTGCACAACGTAGCATCGCCGTCGACGTCGTCTGCCACGAGCCGCCGAGCACGCGCGCACGCCCTTACGCCGCACAACGCTCGACGTCGTCGGACACGACTCGATCATCAGCACGCGAGCAGATACACAGCGCATCTGCACGCCGCTTCCTGAGCGAGGTCGACGCCACAGCCGACGCCGCGCGTAGCGCACCGTAGCGCTACGGCGGCTGACGCCCGAAGCACCGCGAAGTGAAGTTTGAGATGTTTTCAGTTTGTCGTCGATCGGTGGTTGTGTGTGTGTGT